CGGTGAACTTGTTGAAACGTTTCATCAGTTTTAATTTATTATTATTAATTTTTTTTTTTTTTTTGGTTGTTTTTTTGTTTGTAGTTTTTTTTTTTTTATTCGGTTGTTGTTGATTTAATCGCGTATCGCGTTATAATATTGATTTATACAAACTAGAAAAAAATAAAAATAAAAAATTGTTTATAAATTTTTTTTGTTTTGTTTAAACGGTTTTGTAACGGCGAAAGAACAAAAAACAATCGTTACTTTTTTTTAATTGTACTGTCTGTCTGGTTTTGAATTATTATCATTATTATTTTACTTCGTAACGAAATGATAAACTGATTAATAACATTTAAAAAAAAAAAATTTTTTTTTCCATTTGAAAAACGTACAAAAAAAAAAAAAAAAATGTTTGTTAGTGAGTGAGTGAGAGAAATATTTTTTTTTTGTCCTCCATCCATTCCTCCCTTTTTATATCTTCTGCTAGATTCTAATTTAAGAAAACGAACGAACAAACGAACAAACACACAGAATGAGAGGTTAAAAACATGTTTTTTTTGTGTGTGTGTGTGTGTGTTCCAAAATAAAATGATGCATACGTCATTCCAAAAATACATAAAGCCCACGACGACATGAACCCAACATTTTTTTTTTTTTTTAGATTCTTTTGAACGAAAGCAAAACTTTTGCGTTTTAAAATAATAATAATAATAATAACACTTTAAATTTTAGAATAAATTGCCCTCTTTTGCACACACTTTCGTTACACTTTTTCATTTATGATTTTTTTTTTTTATTAAAATTTTATACTAACGTTTGAAAATTTATTATATATATATAACATACCTTTAGGGGGGTAACCGGTAATAATTTTCTATCGAACCTGATTTTTTGAGCTTTTTGTTAAAAGGAAAATTTCCAGTGTAAATTTATCTGGTCCCCCAACTTTCTTTTCATTGAATGATGCGAGTACGTAATACGACTCGTCGTTTCCGAGTATTTTCGCGTTTAACCTAATCCATATTAAAACGTTTTGTTTGTTGTTAATAATAATAATAATAATAATAATAATAATAATAATAATAATAATAATAATAATAATAATAATAATTTATAAGAGATTGTAAACGTTTGACCCGTAGAAATTTCTTTTTTTTTTATGTTTAAAATTTTTAAGATAAAAATGATTTAAAATGACATAAAAATCAAGTCTTAAACAACAACAACAAATTAAGAGAGAGAGAGAGAGAGAGAGAGAGAGAGAGAAAATTTATTATTAAACCAAACCATGGATTGAATGAATGAATGAATGAATGATATTTTATTTTTTATAAACGATAATAAATTAGAATAAAGTAGTGTTATTATCATCACACAAAAAAAAAATAAGGAAAAAATTTTTTTACCTGAAGAGAACAAAAAAAAAAAAAAAAGGAAAAAATCTTTTCTCTCTCTCTCTCTCTCTTTCTCTCCCCAACGAAAATACATAATACCTCTTCTTATGTACATAATTACTATTTAGTTTAACAAAATTATTACGGAAATTTTATTTTATTTTTTTCACGTTTACACCGCTTCTTTTTTTTTTTTTATTTAATTAATAAAAGTTAATAAACTATTACGATAATAATAATAATAATGTAACAATTTCGATTAATAAATTAATATTGGAATTTTTTTCCCGGTTCGATAATAATAATAATAATAATATTTTACGTACGATTAATATAAATTAAAAAAAAAAAAAAAAAAAACAAAACAAAACAAATCGACACGTTTCGATTCTTAATCGTTAATTAAAAAAAAAAATCAGTCTAATAATTTTAATAATACTAATAATAATAATAATAATAATAATAATAATAATAATAGTAATAATAATGATGATGATGATGAAAATAAAAATGAAATAAAATTTTAATAATAATTTGCGAGTATTTGCATTTATATTAATGGTCAGCATATTAAAAATGTAAATAATTTTTTTTTTTTTTTCAAGTTAAATAGAAAAAATAAAAAAAAAACTTTATGAAAGAAACGTGTTTAAATATTAATAATAATAATAATAATAATAAATAAATAAAATTATTATTATTATTATTAATATTTGTTTTAATGAAAAAAATTAAAAAAGGGAATATTAAAGTAAAAATGTTTTTGATAAATGTTTGACGACGACGACGACGACATTCATAAATAAATAATAAATTACGTTTATTATTATTATTATTATTAATAATAAAAAAAATTAATTAATTAAAAAATAATAATGATAATGATATAAATATAATTACCTTTTTAAATTTATAAAAAAAAAAACTTTTAAATAAATAAATAAATAATTATTTATTAATAAAATAAAAATTCACATTAAATAATTATAAAAAAACTTTATAATAAACTTTATTAGTGATTAATCGCGTTTTTAAATTTTTTAATATTTATTATACGTACGTGGTGTACATATTTTTTTTTTTTTTTTGTCGAATCGGGAAACTTCGAGAAAAAATAATAATAATAATGATGATACTCACTAAAAAAAAAAAAAACTTTTTGTATTAACCTATCACGAAGACCGAACTCCACTAACTGACAAAATCATGTTATGCATTTATGCATTGAAATAGAAACTTGTTTGTTTAAAAAAAAAAAAAACTTTTGATTATTCAGTGGCGGCTCGCACTATAAACGATTATTAACAACTATTATTGTTATTGTACGTTATCACGTCGTCGTTACATTTAATATTTATTTAATTATTTACAGGTCAAATTATTATTATTATTATTATTATTATTATTACGAATTAATTAATTAATTTTTTTTTTCAAATAATATTCGTTTATATATATATATAAAAAAAAAAAAAAATACAATCGCGAGTTGTATTAAAAAATGTGATTTTGTTATCCTGCGAAAATTGTAATTATGCAATTTGTCATACTTAAATGTATTGAAATTGCAATTTTCGAAATCGGCGTGTTTTTTTATCGATATGCTAGCGTATATGGTTCGTATTATTCGCGCCCGTGTAAATTTTTTTTTTTTTTTTTTTAAACGAATTATTATTTCTTCGAATCGTGTTTTAAGTTTGTTATTAATCCGTGTGAAAGACAGAAGAAAGAAATAAAAACATCGTGTAATTTTCATCAAATCCTAAATTAATGTAAAATATTTAAATTTGTTTAAACTCTTTTTCTCGCATGCGAGAGAGAATATTTTTTTGTAACGAAACTAACCTTTACTAATTACACGATGATACAATATTTAAATGTTCTTTTTCATTAGAATAATTTTTTTAAATTTTAAATCTCTCTCTCTCTTTCTCTCTCACTCTCACACACTCGAGGAAATTTTCAAAGAGAATTAAAAGGATTCAATTTAAAAAAATCAAATCAATCGAATCAATATTATTATTATTATTATTTATTATTAAATGAAACAAAGAAGAAAAATAATAATAATTTTTTAAATTGATAAAATAAATAAAAAAAAATTTTTCTCGTTGATTTATTTATCTTCTTTGTCGTCGTCGTAAATCGCATAAGTTAATAATTTTGATTTTAGTATATATATATAAATCCTATAGCGAAGGCATCAAAGCTTAATAATAATAATAATAATAATTATAGTAAAAATATACAATTTATGTCACTCGATATTTTCTTCTAATTTTTCTCTATTTTCTCTATTTTTTTTTCTTTTTATTAAAATTGCACGCTTTCTAAAAAACAAAATATTAATAATAATCTCACTGATTATTTGTTTATAAAAATAATAATGATGATGATGATTAAACGTACCTCGACGTGTTTTTCTTATTTAAATTTTCCACGTTGGATTTAACTAATTCAATGTTATCTTTCGATACTGACGTCGTGTAATAATTTGAATTCCATTTTAAACGAGTATTTATTGTTTTCGAATTTTCGTATAAATCTGAAAAAGAAAGAAGAAAAAAAAAATGGAAAATATATATTCAGAATGCGAAAAAAAAAAAAAAAATTAAGGATGCGTAATAATACTACTTGTCGTTGAATTTTTAACACAACCCGAAGGTGAAAATCTAAATGAATTATTAAATCTTTTTATATTTTTTTTAGCTGGATTTAAAAACGTCGCCGTTGATATCGTGTAAAATATTGGATTAACAGCAGCATTGAGAGGAAGTACAAAAACTGCAATCCCCGCAAAAACCTTTAAATAAGAAAAAAAATTTCCTTTTTCGAAAGGTTTTTCAACAAAAAAAAAAAAAAAAAAGGGAAATAAAAGTTTTTTTTTTTTTTTTTTTTCGGTCACAAACCTGGGAAGGTACGGAAACACCATTTAATGATAATATTCCTAATAGAATAACAGGTACCCAACAAGCAGCATCCGTCGCGACGATAAATATCATTCTTCTTGCCATAACTTGTTCCATTCTTTTAGATTCTAAATTTCTAGAAACTGCTAATCTCGTATTTTTAGCAGCCCCGTACATCCATATATAACCCATTGCGATCAATATAAGTGATATAAAATTTAAAACTGGAAAATTTTTTTTAAAAAAATTTTTTTCTTTTTTTTTTTTTGTCGATCGAACGGGGGAGGGGGAAGGGAGACGGGAGGGATTAAATTACTTACATATAAAAATAAAAGCAGAATATTTCCAACCGGAATTTTTATCAATTGTTATACATAATGCCAAACAAACGGCTGTTCGACCGTAAAAATTTTTAAAATAATCTTTATATAACAATGGTAAACCCGATAGACAAACGGCTGCTATCCAAACTCCTAACATGACCCATCGTATTTCGCTCATTTGCAAACGAGTCACTTTGAACGGAAACATAATAACCTAATACATACATACATAATAATAATTTTACTCTATTCGGAATGAAAAGTGATTTCGCGAAGGATCAAACCGTTTAACGGATTAAAAAAGCGGATAAAAACTTACTAGAAAGCTTTCGAACGTTATCAATATTAACGTAAATACTGAAAGTTCAGAGCTTAAAGTTGATAAAAAACCAGCGAGACTGCAAAGTTTCGACGATCTCCATTCTTCATCGTGTACAGAATAAACTCCTCTGTAATGAGCATCAACGCTCGCGATAATAAGAAGGTAGAAACCCATTAAAAAATCACCGACAGCTAAATTTGTTATCAAAAAAGAATGTACCTTTAAAAAAAACAAACAAAAAAATTTAAATCGGATCGATGGATCGATTGATCGAACGATGGATCGATCGATCGATTAATCGATAATTTTACCTTATTTTTATGTTTATAATTCATACGCCAACCTATGACTAATAAATTACCAAAAGATGCAATTATACCCAACACCCAAATGCAAACTCTTAATACGAAATTTCCCATTAAATCTTCGCAAACGGAAAATTCATCCGATGTCGGTTGACAATTTGGCACGTGTTTAGCCAAACAGCAAAATTTAAAATTATCAAAAAGTAAAACTTGTATTGAAAGTTCGGGTCTTTTGAAAACGTCACTTTCGAGTTTTCTCAATGGATTTCCACGTAAATCTCTTTAAAAAAACAAAAAAAAAAGTTTTAATTTTTTTTAAATGCCTCATTCTCCGAGTATAATCCGAGCAGAACTTGCAAAAAAAAATTTTTTTTTTTCCTTTTTCGACAAAGGAAAGAAAAGGAAAAAAATAACAGTAAACGCCTACTACATATTATCCTTCTTTTTATATTATTTTAAAATTCATCAGTCATTTTCCTTCCGTTAAATAACTGAACCCGATTAAATTTTTATATAATTTTCATAGGGGGGAGGAGGAGGGGGGGAGAAAATTCTACTTAATATCGTTTGCGTAGTCATCGTGACAACAAACAAAAATTTTTATACCAACTCGGTTAAAAGTTTTTTTGGTAACTCACATCATACTCGACCGAGTGATGCTACACGTTTTTTTTTTTTTTTTAATCGGTTTCAAAATATTTAACGATCTCAAATTAAATAACAATAAAAAAAAAAAAAAACGTGGAGTACGACGATTTAAATTGTGGCATCCAAAAAAAAAAAAACAAACAAACGTTTACTAAATGACCGATATTGCATTTTAAAATAACAACCAACAAACACATATATGTACGTGTACGAATCATCAATCATTATTTATTATTATTATTATTATTTTTAATTTTATAACGTTTAAAAAATCTTTTGCTCTCGAATTTTTTTTTTTTTTTTTGTCAAAAACATTTAACAATACGAAAACGATTGAAAAATTATTATTATTATTATTATTATTAACGTTTTTTTTTTTTTTTGTTTTCACCGTTGGTTTTTTTTTGTTTGTATGTAATTTACATTTTTTAAATTTTTTTTCTGTTAAAATTTTTTTATTTGCATAAGAAAATGACAGATGCAAAAAATTTCACGGTTAAGAATAAAATAAAAAAACTTTTAAAGATAGAAAGAGAGAGAGAGAGAGAGGGGTAGAATGACACGCATAAAAAGAGGGAGAGAGAAAGAGAGAGGGTGACACACGTAAAAAAAGAGAGAGAGATAAAAAGTTAAAAGAAGAAAATAATTTAATTTTTTTTTTTTTTTTTTTTTTTTGGGGGGGGAAGTGATGGGGGAGGACGGTTTAAAGAAAATTACAGGGAAATATAAAAAAAAAAAATAATAATAATAATAACTTACAAGTGCGTGAGCTTTTGCAATCCTTGAAACGTTCCATGATATAAAATTTCAATTTTATTTTGTGATAAATCCAAATTTGAAAGTTTTCTAAGTCCTATGAAACCTCCTTCGGCGATGTGTTTTATTAATTGATGTTTAAGGTTTAACGTCGGAAGCGAAGACAAACCATAAAAAGCTTTTTCTTTTATAGTTTGAATTTTATTTCCTTCTAAATGCCTTTTGTGTAACAGCCCCCCACCCACCCCAGAACCCCACGCATGAAACAAAAAAATAAAAAGGATCATCATCATTAATAATTCTTTTTTATTTTTTGCAGGATGAAACATAAAAGATAAGAGGTTTTTTTCAAGACCTCTCACACGTAAACTAGATTTTTAACAAAAATCCTTTCTATAGTGACCGTTAATTTGGTATTAATACTCGATTTTGATTGGTCGAACGAAAAAAAAAAAAAGAAAAAAATTACAATTTCAAGTTTATAAAATGTTTTAAACGCGATACTTACAAACCATTTAAATTAGAAAGACCATCGAAGGTCTGACTTTCGAGTACGGTTATGCAGTTGTTTTGAAGTACGAAAGTTTTTAAATCTCTAAGATCTTTAAATATACCAGGAGTTATAGAACAAATGGAATTGTTGGATAAATCTAAAAGGATAGCGAATCTTATATTGTAAGTAAAATTTTCATTTAATACTTTCGATAAATTATTATTAGCAAAATAAAATTTCCTATAAGGATCTTCCATTTTATCGATATTTTTTATCGTTTGCAAACCGAGACCTGGAAAAATAAATAAAAAAAGGAACATTTACTCGCGCGGAAGTTTTTTTTAAAATGGCGAATAATTACGAACCCGTGCAATTAGCCGTTATGTCGATACACGTGCAAAATTCAAAACATTCGTGCGTGCAATTTTTTTCGTCCATCCAAAAATCCAAACAATCGAATTTTCCATCGCAGAGAAGTGACGTATGTAAACAAGGTCCCATTTTACATTTAAATGTTCCTTCGGGACACGTGAAATTAGCGCAACCTGATTAAAATCCATAAAAAAAAAAAAAAAAAAAAAAATTTTCCAACCGAATAAATTTTCTTGTATCGATCATAGACGACGACGACGATGACGAATAAAAAAATTTTTTTTTCTCCAGAAGGTTTGTGTAAAAAGAAAATAACCGGCTGGAAAATGTGGAAAATTGGAAAATTTTTTTTTTCTTTGTTTAAATTTGAAAAAGTTTCGATTACGCTTGCGAAAAATTTAAAAAAAAAAATTTTTTTTTTTTTTTTTTTACACGTAAACGATATTAATTTAATTCGATTGTGAAAAACGTCGTTAAATTTAATAAAAATCTTCTGCTTGAAAAATTTTCCTTTTTTTTTAAATGATTAATAATTTTTGAAAAATGAAATTTTTTTTAAAAGTTAAACGTTAACAAAAAATAAAGAAAATTTTTTTTAATTACGTTCTTAATAATAACATGCAAATGACGTTAAAACGTTTTTTAAAAAAATTCGTCTGCTTTTCTTATTTGCGCGCGTAAAATTTTTTTTTTTTTTTAGTCTTCCGTTTCCGTTTTTATTACGATTATTATTAAGGAGAAGGAAATAAATTTTTTTGTTACCTTTCAAATGTGATTTATCGGCACAACCCTGACGTAAATTTTCATTTTTATAACAATATTCATTTTTAGGTATACACTGACCGGAAGTTTCGCATTTAAATTCATTTCCGGTACAAAATTCTTTTTGATTTCCTAAAAAAAAAAAATTATTAATATTTCATTTATTTTATATTATTATTATTATTATTGGAGATGTCGTTCGTTTTCCGCCCCTCCCCCCTCCTCCCCCTCGATTTTATTTTAATTAAAAATTAAAACGGGTTCGTCCATTTGGGTTTTTGATCCATTTTCTTTAGAGTGGGGGGAGTGTGGGTAGGGGTGGGGTTTAAAAAGAAAACGTAAGAAGGCGGATGGGTGTGGGGGGGAGGGAGAGAGGGAGAGAGAGAGAGTTACCTTAACAAATGATACAAACCGCAATTATTTTCATCGGAACCATCCGAACAATCTTGTATAAAATCGCACCAAAAATTTGAATTTATACATTGTCCGTTATCGCATTGTTTTAATTTATTTGATTTTTCATCTAAATCTCTGCAAATAAAAAAAATTAAAAAAAACGGGTGGGGAAATTTTTTTTTTTTTTTTTTTTTATATAAAAAAATTTTTTTAAAAAACGTTTTTAAAAAAAAAAATTCTTTCATCCTTTTTTTGATAAAAAAATAATCAGATTTAAAATTTTTTTTTTTTTTAATATTTTAAAAAAGGTTAACGAACTTTTTTTTTTTTTTTTTTTCATTTTGATGAAAATCAAATTTTAAACCCCGAAGGTTTAAAAATAAAATCAAATGAAAGATAAACTTTTATATATATATATATATATATATATATATATATATATATATATATATATATATATATATATATTTACGAAATGATAAAAAAAAAAAAAATAGCAGAAGAAAAGATACAAAAAAAAGGTAAAATGATTTATGAAAAGGAAAATTTAATTTTTATATATATATATATATATATATATAAATTTAATGGCGCGTTTTTTTCTCTTTTATTTTACTCCCTCCCGGGCATTTAAAATTTTTTTTTTTAAAAACAATCGTTTCCGGTTTTACGATTGATAACGATAATGATGAAACAATTTTTTCTCACCTGATATCGACGATACATTTAAATCCTGTACAATTGATTTCGTCACTCTTATCACTACAATCAATTTGAGCGTTACATCTATCTCTTATCGGTATACAATAACCGTTATCACATTGGAATTCGTTTTCCGTGCAATTCGGCCAAACTGTAAAATATACACACGCGTACACGCACGTGCACATGAATCGAATGATTACGCGAGGAGTAGGGGGAGTATTGATAAGACAAACTCACCGCAATCTAATTCATCTTCACCGTTTAAACAATCGATTTGATAATTACAAATGAAAGAATGGGAAAGTTTTCTCTGGTCTAAACCCCCGCAAAAAATAAATTTTTCTCCATTTGGTTCCAAAATATTTTTCCATACGTCGACACCGGAAACGCAACCATATTCATCGGATAAATTATTATTTCCGTTTAAACAATCGTTAAAACCGTCGCAAATGTATTCGTGTGATATGCATCTTTCAATTGTCACACCGCTTATGGTCGTTCTGCATGAAATCGTACTTCCGACCCTGCACATTTGATAACCTAAAATAATAATAATAATAATAATAATAATAATAATAATAATAATAATAGTTTTTCACGAACGTAAATAACCCAAAAAAAATTTTTTTTTATTTTTTCTTCACTCATTACGTTGTTTGTTTTGTTATCCATTATTTTTGTTTGTTTGTTTGTTTGTTTGTTCTTTTCCTACCCGTTGGCGATTAAAAACAAAAATTTTTTTTGTAACATTAACATTCTTCGTCGGAATCCCGTCTTCCCCTGTTGTTTCTATTACCGGTATTATTATTATTATCACCTCTATTCTGTTCGTTTGTTATTTTTTTATACCAGATAACGGATATGGTAACTAGTAGTATTAAAATTATTAAAAATAATTTTTTTATTTTTGGGGTGACATTATTATTAAAAAAATCGATTACTCCCCGCGTTAAAATCATTTTATGACGTCGACGAACGAAATTTTATATCATAATAATAATAATAATAATAATAACAATTATTATTATTATTAATTTTTTTTTTTTGAATTTTTAATTTTTCATGTTTTTTTTTTATTTTAATATATATATATATTTACATATTTTTTTTAAAAACTTTTAATTAACATTGTTTACCAACATTTTTTTTATTTATTTTTATTTTAAATGATAATAACAAAAATAATAATAATAATAATAATAATAAAAACAAAACAAAAAAAAAAATTTTTTTTTTTTTTTGAAAGGTTGTTGTTATAACAACTCGGTGAGAAAGAATTGAAAATGTTCTAAAACACGCAAACCCGTTCGCAAAAGAATTTAAAAATAATAATAATTAATTAACAAAACGGTAATTATTACACGTTAATTACTTAATTAAAAAAAATAAATAAATCGATATAATAGTAATAATAATAATAATTTTTTTGTTGTTTTTTCCTTATAATAATTAATTATTTGGTCGTTAATGAAAAAATGTTGGTTTTTTTTTATTCTGAACAATACAGAAAAAATTTATATTATTATTATTATTATTATTATTATTATTATTATTATTATTATTATTATTAATACTTACGTAATATTTTGTTGTTATGTATATTACTTATTTAATTATTTCATAAATGAAAAAAATTATTATTATTATTATTATTAATTAATTAATTAAATTATTTTCTTAACGTTTTGAATAAGCGTCAATGATAACGATATTGAGGGGAGAATGTGAGGAGATATGTGATGTGAGAGGAGGGAAGAATGGAGGGAAATAACTAATTAACAAATAAGAATTTGGGGGAGGAAGGGGGAAGAGGGAAAGGGGTGGGTGGGAATTTTCATCTCACCGTTAACAATTGTATAATAATCATCGCAATTAATTTCGTCGAAACAAGGGGTTTCCCCTAAACAATCACAAATCCCGTCACAAATTCTAGATTTTCTTAAACATCTCGTGTTGGGACATTGAAAATAATTCCCGGAGGATAAATCACAGTTACCTGTAAAATAAAAAAAAAAAAGAAAAACGTGCGTAGATAAAGAGAGAGAGAGAGAGAGGGAAAGAAAAGTCAATTTAAAAACATTTTTTTTTGTTTTAACTTTAAAATTGTTTTGATAAAAATTTTTTGGCGGGAAAAATAAATTTAAAAAAAAAAAACGTAATTGAAACGTAAATTTAACTTACAATTTAATTCGTCTTTGTGATCATCGCAGTCTGGCCAACCGTTGCATTTTGTATTTTTGTGAATTTTTTTACCATCGTCGCAAGTTTCTAAAAAAAAAAAAAAATTTTTTTCTATTATTATTATTATTATTGTTTTTTGTTTTTTATATAGAAAAAAATCAATCGTTTAAATTACCCGATAAACATCCGGTTTCGTCAGAACTATCCCGACAATCGGGAACGTTATCGCAAACCATACCCGGACGTATACATTCCTGATTATCGCACCTGAATTCAGAAGGCCAACATTCCCGATATTTACAATCGGTTTCATCGGTTAAATCACCGCAATCGTCTTCGAAATTACACAAATGTTCTCTCGATATGCAAAAACCGTTTCCGCATTTAAATTGACTTTTCGAACATTGAAATGTTTCTAAAAAAAAAAAAAAAAAAAAAAAAAACATAATTACGTAAATTTATCAATTATCACGTTTAACGCTCTCTCTCTCTTTCTTTCTCTCTCTCTCTCATCAAATTTAAACTATATTATTACGTCTTCTGCTTTTATTTAATATGCGTGATGTGTAAATATAAAAAACGTGAATGAATTACGTAGAAAATTATCGAAGATTTAAATTTTAAGGGTTTTTTTTTTTTTTTTTAATTTGGGTTTTTAAAAAAATGTTAAAATGTTGCCAACTTTTGAAAATTATAAAAATTGATTTTTTTTTTTTTACTAATGTTAACGGGAACGTTTTTTTATTTATTTTTTACAAAAAAAAAAAAAAAAAAAAAAAACGTGATAAACCGTTTTGCGTTTTTATATACCTCTTACGAAAAAAAAAAAAAAAAAAAGGTTTTTTGTTAAAATCCTAATTATTAAATATTAAAACGGATTTAAAACTTTTTAAAATTTATGTATTATTATTGTTATTATTATCCTTATTATCCTTATCCTTATTATTATTATCCTTTTTAAATTATTAAACTAACCCACCGGTTTTACTTTTTTTTTTTCATTCATCCTTTCCGTTCTTTTCTCTAATTTTTTTTTTTTTTTTTGAAATTATTTATTTTTTAATTTTTATAAAATTTTAAAAAAATAATGCTTTACGCACCCCCCCCCTTCCCTTTCCTTTCACCCCTCCCCCCTCAAAAAAAAAAAAAACGTTTCAACGGTCGATTATCATTAGTTTTTTTTTTTTTTTTTTTTTTTTTTTCCCCACAAAATCATCATTTTTGTAGGGGAAAAAAATCGAGGGAATAAAAATTATTCGCGCGAAAAAAAGGCTCGTTTCGAAGCTCGTTTTTTTGCTAAGTTCTTCATTTTTTGGAGGGGAGTAATCGGGGGAAAGGGGGAAGAAAAGGGGGAGGTGAGAAGGAAGAAAATCGTAATGGGTTTTTAGTAAGCAAATGAGGAGTAAGCAAAAATGAGGTTGTTAACCTTTTTCAAATAATTACGCGGGGGAAATTTTTTTTTTTTTGGAGCGAGAAAATTATTTTGGGGAGTTTATTATTATTATTATTATTATTATTATTATTATTATTATTATTATTATTATTATTATTATTATTATTATTATTATTATTACGGTCACTTTTACACAGGACAAAATTTTTATTTGTCGGGGTTTTTAGGTTCATTTATTCCAGGTTTCTACCCGACGATTATCCCTACAGAAATAAATGCTCGAATTTCGTTGGTGGTATTTATACTATATTTTCCGAAGAATTTATTATTATTATTATTACAACAACATCAAATCCAGAATTTTGAAAAATAAATAAATAAATAAATAAACAGAGAAAAGTATATTTTTAAAAAATAAAAAAAAAAATCCCGTATTTATTCAAAAAATTTTTTTTTTTTAAAAGGAATATAAATAATAATTTTTTTTTTCATTTTATGAAAAAGGAAAGAAAGCAGAAGAAACACGATGTGATGTGTAAATTTTTAACATTAACAAAATAAAAAAAGGAAAAAATTTCCTTTGTCAGAAATCACTCGTCAACAACTCGTGACGACAAACTTGACAAAATGATAACAAAAAAGGGGAAAAAAATTAAAAATTTGTTTTATTATTATTATTATTTACTTTTTTTCCAGTCCGGATAAAAGTTTTTTTAAAAAAAAAAAAAAAAAAAGAAAAAAATCTTAATGGTTTTTGCATTTTTTATTTTACATCGAACTCTAGAAAGAAAACTGTTACGATATAAAAAAATAATAATAATAATAAAACGTAGTCAGTGAAATGAAAAGTCGGACGAAATGCCTTTTAAAATAATAATAATAATAATAATAATAAAGTAGGCGTTTGATATGAAACAAAAACAAAAAACAAAAGAAGGAAAAATACTTACTGCAATCTTGTTCATCTTCATTTTCTAAACAGTCGGTTATTTTATCACATCTGCTGGATAACGATATACAATAATTGCTATTCCTACAATAAAATTCATTGTCCAAACAAACTGGAAAAACAAAACAAAAAACAAAAAAAAAAAAAAAAGAAAAAATATGCAAATTTTGACACAATTTACAAAACATTCTACAACTTTTTTGTTTGTTTTTTAATAACATTAATAATAAAGTCACTAGAAAAATAATCCCCGTTTACCTTTTGAAATAAATTCCCCCTCCCCTCACCCTCTACCTCTCAGCCCCTCCCTCCCCCGACAAAAGTATAAACGGAAAATCTTTCTCACTACGTTAATGGATGGACGAAGGAAATTAAATTAAAAATGGCGGACGATATGACGAAAAAAAAAAAAAAATTTTTTTTATAAAAAATGCTTAATTAAATATATTACACGTCGCGTACACTTTTTTTTTTTTTTTTTAAACGAAAAGTTTTAAGTACGAAAAACATTTTTAATTTTAATGCATTTTAAAAAAAAATTTTAAAATTGCGCGGGAAAAAATGGGCGGGAAAAAATTTTTTAAAATTAGCATCTAAATTTTTTTTTGAAAGGATTATGAAATGAAATTTACACGATTATATTAATCCATTAAATCCTGCAATAATACGCAAACGAAAACGAATTTTATTAATAATATTATCATTATCATTATTATTATTATTATTATTATTATTATTATTAATACATAAATTTTTTTTTTTTTTTTAAATGAAAAGAATATTTGTTTTTTTTTTTTTTTATTATTGATAAATGTTTTTCACATAAACTTTTAGTCGCCTTCTTTCTCAAATAATTTTTCTCATTTTTTTCACGGTTTAACGGTTATTAACTAATTAATAATAATAATAATAATAATAATAATAATAATAATAATAGTAATATTAACGTTTATTCTTATTGTTTAATTTCTACACGGATATTATTATTATTTATAATAAAAAACGTTTTTCCTATGGTTGTTCTGTGTTTTTTTCTTCAAAGTTTAACCGAAACAATAATAATAATAATGGATAAAATATTCGAATTTTTATTTTTTTTAATAATGTTACACATTATTATTATTATTATTATTATTATTATTATTATTATTATTAATAAAATTCAAAATTTTAAAATCATTTTTTTACGGATAAGTAATCCATTTTTCTTTTCTTTTTTCTTTTATTTTGAAAATTGATTTTTTTTTTAATAAAATTTTTCCTTTTTTTTGGTTTTATTATGAATTTTATTATTATTATCAATATTATTATTATTATTAATATTATTAAATATATTAAAATATTTTGAGTTTTTTTTTTATTTTGCATAAAGGCAACATGTTCGTGAAATTTATTAAAAAAAAAAGAAAAAGAAAAAAGAAAGAAAAATGAATATTTAATGTTATGAAAGTATATATATATATATAAATTTTTTAAAAAAATGGAATTATCGAGTGACTGAGTGATCAACCAATCAGAAACGATCTTTTACGATTTCGTTAGTTTTCCAATTTTTATTTTTATTTTTATTTGAATTTCTTTTTTTTATTTTTTATTTCATACGAAAAACGAAATAGTTTGAAATAATGTTTATATATATTTGTTTTTAAATTATTTGTTTATTCTTTACACAAAAAAGCAGACGATATTTTAATTATACGGGGGCCGGAGGGGGGGAGGGAAACAAAACGACAGAAAAGAGATTAGAAAAGCCAACGTGTAAAAAATAAAGACTAAAGTTTAAAGGTCGGTTACAAAAAAAAAAAAATAACCTGTCCAAAAGGAAAACCCTTATTTATTTAAAACCCGAAAATAATGAATTAATTCAATTAAAATGAGAAATATAAGAGGGCGGTGATGATGACGTCAGTTTTTAAAAAAAAAATTTAAAACAAGCATAGAGTAATTAAACATAATATTCACTTACCTGTTTCGTTCATTTGAAGTTGTTTTTCACAATAGATAAAATTACCAATAGATAAATACCAGATGATAAATAAAATAAATAATTTCATAGTTTTTTCTTATCCATCTGATATTTATTTTATACTTATAATAATAATAATAAAAATAATAATAATAATAATGATTTTCATGGATGCGTACAAAATATAAGGTAGAAAAATTTAAAAAAATTTTTTTTTTTTTTTTTTTGACGTTAAAAATAATTTTTATATACTTCCTCAAACTTTGTTACTATTTTTTTTTTCTTCTCATTTTTCGCACATTTTGATTTATTCTTCTAATCCCACGTTATTTTTAAATTAAAAAAAAAAAAAATTAATTAAATTGATGTGTATTCGAATGAGAGGATTGAAAATTTTATTTTAACGACAGGAAAAAAAGATTCGGGAAAAAATGGCGGCGGGGTTGGTGGTAACTTAGCGACAGGAATTTTAACAATTTTTATTATAAAAAAAAAAAAATTGTCGTCTGCTTTGTAAAAAAAATTTTTTTTTTCTTTTTAAATTAATTTCCACGACTAATTTTCTCGTATGTAGCAAAGCTTTAAAATGTTTACACGAAATTAACGTGTCGGTAGACTTATTATACATATTTATTCGTGTAACGATTCGAATTTTAGTATTAATTACATTTTACATTTTAATACGAAACGAAAACTTTCGTCATAATTTAACATAAATCATCATCATCATCATCATCATCATCATCATCATTATTATTTGCCTAAATAAACGGATGCTAAGTATAAATTTTTTAACAGTTAATTTCTCTCTCTCTCTCTCTCACACACACACACGCGCGCGTTCGATCTTAAATCTTTTAAACTTTTAATAAATTTAATTGAAATGAAATTTTCTCAATCCGATACGTTCAACAGGTGACATTTTTAAAAACCATCATCATCATCATCATCATCATCATTATCGTGCTCATCATTAAAATCATCATCATTAAAATAATTATCATCTTCATCATAACATTTGTTATTTTCAGACAATGTGAAAATTTATTAATTAATTTTTGTTAAATTACACGGATGGGAATAATTTTAAGTAAAGTCATAGAGTGTTTAAACTTATAGATTTTTATTACGTTCGATT